GGGGGAAACAGGGGGGAGGAGGTGATTTTGATTAAATATCCCAAGGAGGACATTGGGTATTGGGGAGCAATCAAATGGCTCAAATTAGTGGTGGGCGAGTACGCGGAAAACTTTCAAGAAATTAGGGACACGAGAAAGGGCGACATTTTAATAGCGATTAAAAACGGTAAAGGGAGAGAGAATAGTAGGGAGTGCGCAGGCAAGATTAATAGAGAAGGGGAGGGAAGGTGGGTTGCGCGAGGGCATTCTGACACGGTAGAAGTAGCGATCAGAATAACGGATCCGGATCTGGACGGGGAGGAGTTGATCAAAGCGTACAAGGAGAGTAGGCTGAGCGAACTAGTGAAGAGCGGGGACGTTAAGTTTAGATGTATAAGAGGTCCGGAGGGAACCTGTCACCGGACGGCGTACTTAGATTGCACGAGGGAAGCCGCTAAGAAGCTAGTGCAGGAGAAGCAAATTCGAACAAAGTGGCAGGAGTTGCGGCCCTTCTTCCCGAGGAAAAAGTCTAGCGGAGATGAGAAAAGCAGGAGGCAAGAAGGAAAGGAGAACAGAGGAGCTGGGAAACAAGGAGGAAAAGGCAATAGTGAAGCAGGAGCAGAGTGGCAAGCCAAACCGGGTACAAGTAAGGACCCCTGGTAGACGAAGGTAAAAAGCGAACCTAAATATAATGATACACATATTAACCCACATGTATATTCACATTTATGTTATATTTATTTATTAAATTAAGTTAGTATTAACATATGTACCAAATCTAGATAAGAATAAGTGTAAGCAAGATGTAAATAGCAATAAGGATCAGAAACTAGAGATAGGGAACATGTAGGAAATATGCAACACGGTACTGTACATAGCAATAAGGAACCAACGTAAATTAAGCAGATTAATAGATAGCACAAACCTAAGTTAATTTAATCTAATACAAGGTATATCGAAGATAGGTTTAATTGAAGGCATGACAATCACTACTGTGTACTAATGTAAATATCGTAAAATGATAAGCAGAGATTCTTGTAAATAGCAATAATAATTAGAATTCAAAGCCTAAATGAAAACTCAAACCAAATGAAATCCTAAAATCCTAAAACCAAAATAAAACCAGAGCATAACCCAAATATAAATAACCACAGAAACTAGGCAGTAAACACCAACACACACGCTAAACTAAACTAAGCAAAATACAATTCATTAAACTTAGTTAAGAGTAAAGTAAATCAAACCAAATAAATTAAATTAAATCCAATAAGCTTAATAGAAGTAGAATGGATTAAATGAATTAGCAATTTAATTAACTGAACCAAGCTAAGCCGAAAGGAACTAACAAATCAAGTCAAGCTAAGTTAAGACAAGTTAAATAAACTAGATAAAGTAAATAAAATAGCTAAGTCAGAGGAACCAGATTAAGCAAGCAGCAACTAAAGTAATTAAACGCAAACCACAAACAATTTTGAACTCAAACAAAGTAAGCCAAATTTAAAATAAAATTTAAATTTAAAATTTAAAATTAATTTAAAAATTTGAAATTCTAAGCTTTAAATCCTAAAATTGCTGAAATCTAAATATCAAATTAAATCAATTTAAATTAACTCAAAGGCGGCAGTGAAATGCTAACGGCTACAGGAATAAGTGGAAACTCACTTAGCAATTAATCTATAAATCGAGAAAATTAAAACTAAAACTAAATTGAGCTAAATTTAATCAGGCCAACTAAACAAGGGTAAACCGCGCAAGCGGGGGCAGCCAAAATGCAATAACGAGGCAAAGCGTGACAAGCTTCTAAACACTAAACCATTAAAACTGCTAAAGAGCAACAATACAAAACACCTAAAGCACCAAACAGAAACAAACACTAAAACACCTTAGTATCCAATCACCAAAACACGCTGATTGATAAAATACCTTAAGGAAACTTAATTACTAAATTAACTTAATTAATATGACTACGGTTAATAATTGAGCTAATTTATCGTAGCTGCAAGATAATTATAATATCTAAAATGAAATAAGGATTTTGGGCCCAAGCGTATGAGGGACTAAAGTGAGGCGAACGATCAACCAACTAAAATAATACAAAGCAAGTTTTAATTAAATCAAGCAAACGTTAAAACGCGTTAAGTAATTCCAATCGAAGAATAAACTGATAGGTTAATAGATTAACTCTAACGCCAAGTAAACGACCAAGCGCAAATCTAAACCAAATCAAATTAAATCAAATTAACTCAAGATACTTAATCTTAACCTAAATCTAAATATAAATAAAGCTAAATCAAGACTAGCTTAAAACTAAATAAATTAACGCAGGATATTAAACAAATAAATAAATAAGTATAAATTTAATTAAAGCTAATTTTAAGACCTGCACAACATAGCAAGGAAAATCTGAAACTCAAATAGGCGCGGTAAACAAACTCAACGGGAGTCTTAAACCTAAACAAACGATAGAACAAGTAGCAGAGATAGGGAAGAGCACGAAATGGGAGGGTTTGGAAATCACGGAGAAGGAGGGAATAGCATGAACAAAGGGTTATGGCATGAGTAGAATACATTGGTATACTTTGGCATGAGCACACATAAGAGCTAAATTACACACGGAATAGATGCATGAAATCCTTACACCTAGGGCAGAGGAGCAGAAAGTAGATGGAATAAGATTGACAAGCAAACTTAAATTACAGAAGTAAAGGTATCTCTTCAAGGAATAGGCAGGAAAGATAGCAGGGAGACGAAGGCAACGGCGGTCGAGAAGTGTAAAGAGCGCTTAGAATACGTTGACGCGAACAAAAAGGAACGCACCGGGCTCCCAGATGAATGCAGGCGACGAGGTAGAAGCTGAGCAGCAAGCAGGGCCGAAGAAGCTGAAGTAACAGAGCTGGAACAAACAAAATAAGAGTTAAAACAGGCTAGATACGAACAGTAGCAAGTAATATAACAGGTAAGCGAATGCAATATGATTACTTAACTTAAGCCAAACAAGGCGCAAGATGACTGCTTAACGGGGGAAGCTGAAACGGGTAAGTCAGGTTAGTGCATTAGAACGAATAAGACTACAGAAAATAGAGCAAGAAGACAATAATATTGAGCATACTGGCCTGGTGATAAGATGCAGAACGTGGAGCATAAGCAGAACGACGAGTATGATTGAGGATCACCAGTAAAAGCAAGCCAAGAGGCAAGTGAAGCATCGAACGCAAGGAAAAGCAGGACAGCAAGCAGAAGAGGCAAACAAGCAAAGCGCAGCAGAACAAGCACAACCGAGAGTACAGGCAACACACGAGAGTCCAGTCAACACACACACACGAGCAGAGCATGCACACAGGCAGACAAACACGCAAAGAAACCATGAACATTGAATACAATCCTGCCAAAGATGCGGCAAATAACGCTAGCAGGAAGGAACACCTTCCAAGTTGCGTTCCACCTCCTCCTTCATTAACATGACCAATTTAACAAAATGCAGAATAGCACGGCGATGACTTTCCTTACCAAGCAGCACGGATAAATGGTTTAGAAGACCGAAGAACACAGGACGATAAGGTGGCCAAAATATGGTTAAGAGACGAGGATGAAAGATTAGGGGAAAGGTAACACGACCCTATACAAAAGTCACGAGTTTCCACGATAACGGAGCCATCACCGCGACTGGAACAGTGTACAACACCAAAGTCAGAAGAAGAATAAGGGCGAAACCACACTGCACATTTGGAATCCAAGCTCACATGCCACTCACTTCTGATCTCATATGGCTCACAAATTCAGACAAAATCCGCGCAACGTTCGCCCGCTGTCTGCCACAGAAGATCCTGAGCGAGGCGACAGTTTTTGAGGTTTAATTGAAGAACAGAGACAGGAGAGGGCATGGTACAGGGACGATGAGCACCTGAAATAAGGAAACAAACGTTAAAACCAGTTCAATAGTACATGTAATACATTAACTAATAGCAAATTAGGTTATAAAGGTTAAAATGACAGACGAAACACTTACCAATACGCTGGAAAGTAAAACGGGATATGGAATGAGACCAATTAGGCCAATATAAACACCAATTAGGAGAGAATGAAGCAACCAAATAAACCAACAGTCCTCGCGAAATGCGGCAGGGAAGATGAACACAGCTAACAAGCCGTGACAGAGTAAGGTAACCTGAAATAAAGCAAGCAGAATAAATCAGCAAATAAGCAACAAGGGAGAACAAGCAAATAAGAAACATGGGAAGGACTACAGGAATAAGTAGAGGCAGGCGAGAAGTTAAGGTAAGTGGAACAAAACTAAGGATAAGAGGGAACAACAACAAAGCAGCAAGGAAATGCCTATAAAACAGCAGCAAGGCAGTAAGGAGAAAACTAGGTAAGGAAGTAAGGAAAAGAGCAGGAAGAACAAACAGGGCAGAGGATATACACATATACACGCATAATAACGCTCGGCGTCAGAGCCTAATGAGCACAAATAATGATACAAACAAACAGGCAGGAACAAGTAAGGTATTTAAGGTTCATAGTCTTACAGCGACGACTTACCAGACAGCGGTCAACAGACACAAATATGATTCAGCAAAAGAAGGCAGTAAGAGACTGCAGAAGCATATATAGATACAACAGCAAAACAACAGTGGCAGCAAAATCAGCAACAGCACAATAGAAGCCAGCTAGGTCAGATGATAACTGATGGATGGAAAACCAATTAAAACACAAGTAAAATGCAGTACCAAACGGGAATAGATCAAGCAGCGAAGTCAGATAAAGAAAAGAGTTTAAAGCGGGCATAAATACCGGATGTAACAGCGAACGGGCAAGGATAGTAAAACTGGCGTGAGCTGGAAGAAAATCGGGCAATTAAATAAGGCAAACCAAGTAGTAAAGTAAATTAATTAAAACACGACAAAGCAAATAAAACAAATGAAAACAAGGTGGGTACAAAGTGACGCTTACCAGTAGGAGATTGGGGTGAACGACCAAAATGGCGTAAAGCACAGCAACACACTTGTTGAAAGGAAAGAAAACTGTTTAACCTGTTGGCACAAGGCGGCAGGTAGTAAGCAAACAATGCAAACAAAAGGGAAAGTGGAGTGGCAAGCAGGGTAAAAGGAAGAAGGGAAACCAACAACACACAAAGCCAACGTGAACGCAGCGCTAAGTAAGAAGCGACATCAAGCGGTGGCGGTGAGAAGCAAGACACCATGAACATAGTCTCGACTAAAGGAAACAGGGCTGGAAACAGAACAAGACACAGGAACACCAACCAAGTAAATAAATACGACGTAAAACGTAGCAAATAAGGTGATCGCGCGAAGTATTGCGATGGCACGGATACTGCCATCTCGCGGTTGCTCGCGATCTCGCGGATACTGCGATTCCGCGATTTTCTCGCAATCTCGCGGTTCTTCGCTAGTCAACGGTTTTCCGCAATCATGCGGTTTTTCCGCAGCGGATGATTCCCATGATATTGACGAATTCAGAAATCGAGCTGTTCTTTCGTCTTCTCATAACGAAGCGATCGGGCGATCCACCGCGATCTCGCGGATGCTGCGATCTCGCGGTCTCCCGCGATATGATACGATAAAATTAAAAGATTATTTTGAATATGTTATTTAATTTTGCGCCGCCTCCGAAAAGGTTGAAATGTATTTAATATAATACCTAACGAGTAAATAGGTTTCATTCATATCTGTTACGTAATTGTATGATTGAATGAAATAGAAATTACTTCATTAGGAAATAGAAATTATTTTATACTTTTTAGTGCATTTCGAAGTCGGTGTATTTTTTTTCTAAAAATTATTTTATCTTCTTTAAATTCCTCAATATAGCACGTCTGCTTGCTCTTCTAGCCATTTTGACAATAATTAATATGGCGTCGTTTTGTTCGTTGAAGCATTGTTAATATATATATATATGTATATAGCGTGTATTTAGAATGTATTTATTATTTATGTCCTTTTTTTTTTATTAATTTAATTATACGGTAATAAATTTGTACACCGTTATTTATGAGGAATAACAAAAGAATTTATTTTATAATACAATAAAATTAAAATTTCTCTCTTTTTATAAAATATAGGTAACAAAATATATATATATATATGTATTATTATTTTTTTTTTTTAATGAATATTATAATTAATTTGGGGCCCAATATTTTCCACTTCAATAATCGGATATGTCTCTTCTATGTTTAGCAATACTCCGTTGTCATATGCCTCAACGTCATCTACGTCCATAGTAGCGATTTTACTGCTGCATTCGCTGCAAGCTAATGCTGGCATTGTATAGGATAATATATTCCTACACGCTACGCAACGACTTTTTCGCAAAGCGTAGTCTTGTCTTACTATAAAGTGTGAGCCTATATGTACAAATATATATATATATTTATATATGTATATAAAATCATATTAGTTAAAATAATATTGGAAAATTGATTCTTGCCTACGCTCCACCATTGCTTCTTCGCTTCCGGGTGTGCCCCGGTAATGCAATTCAAGCACAACCTCCCCATTAATGGGTTATATTTAAAGAAAAATGATAGATTAATATCCTTTACGCAGACTGCGTATAATATGTTTGCGCTTTGGACCATTATTCTTACAAGAAGGTAGTCTTCTTTTCAGGAATTCTTCTTTTTCCAGCACAAACTTTCGTACGTCTTGCTCGTTTATAATGCTTTTGCGTTCTGACGCTACACGCTTCGTTTCCGCAATTTGCCACACTCTTAGTTGCTAGTTCTTATGTATTAGAAAATTCGCGATTGCAAAATTACGAAGCGCGGTAAATTTAAATTATTCTACCCTTGTTTGCGCGCACGCTCATCTCTCTATCGATTCTCGATCCCTCATTGGTAGGTGGGCCCTTTTAATGCGATCCTTATG